AAGAGATGGTCGCAATTCATAACCTATACCGTCACGCCTGCTATACCACGCCATGCCGTGCCGGTCTTTTTGCTTTCCTTCCCTCCTCCACAACCCATCTCGCTAACATTTCTCAAAACTGCTGGTGGCGTGGGATGGCGCGGCCTCCCTCCGGCTAGTCATTGGTATATCTTGGTAGAAGTACGAGGCAACCGTTAGTGGCGTCGGTGACTTGTTGAGTGTACGCGCGCTTCACGCATTTCTGACATGCATGGTCGAGGGGAGAAGCGGAGATGATACGGCTTGGGGTTGGAGTCGTTCAAGTGTTAATAATCCCAGTATAGTAGCGTTGCGGTATTTACATGTGAGCTTATACCCTATTCCGCCGAATAAATGCTTTGTGAGCAAAAAAGTCACGATGACAGAAAAGTAACTGCGAACAGAAAACAAAAGCGAAAAACTAAACGACGAGAGCAGGATTCGAACCTGCGCACCCGAAGGTAATAGATTTCTAGTCTATCGCGTTAGACCACTCCGCCATCTCGCCTTCTGCTGATGATGATGATGATGATCTTATTTTAGCGTCTAGCTACTAAGCTGCATCTCTATCTGGATATTAGACGTGCAGGTGGTTCCCCTTGTGGGGCTCGCTGCAGCGGAGGGGCTGGGCACTGGGTGCACTCAGGGGACGGACCCACCTAATGTGGGCCCGTGACTAGACCGGGGCCGAAGCACGCCGGTGGGAACTGACCGCCGACTCCACACCACACTAACTACATCGGGACTAGTGTACTACCAGACCCGCCGGTGCCCACCCAGGCGGATACTGTTGAGTCCTTCTATTCCTAATATAGCTAGCTAGTGTTTACATCATTGGTCAGAGCGAAATTGGAACTAAACTAAAACAAATACGAAGGGACCAGCCGAAGCTGAACCTTGGTAGGAAGGATTTTTGTAGGGAGAGCAGGATTCGAACCCGCTACCTCAGGTGGTGCAGTCCTTTGAGGTCGGCCAGGCACAGCCCTTACCACTGAGCCATCCCCCCCGCCTTCTGCTGATGATGATGATGATGATGATAACATTTTAACGTCTAGCTACTGAGCGGCGTCTTCTATGGACATTAGACGAGCCCGAAGGCAGCGTAATGGACAGCAACGCGAGGACGAAGACAACAGGGCAGTATATGGCAAACACAACTGAGAAGATAAAGAGGCAGTAGGAAGAGCGACGAGCACTAGTCCAGACTTGCAAAAGCATTAGCCCAAGGGTTGCGACGAGAGGAAGCTTTTGCCTTGGGCTTGCCGGAAGTAGTTGCTGCAACAGCAGGCTGCGCAGCAGGAGCGGGTTGAGAGGGAGGGGGAGCAGACTCCATTGAAATATCAGCAGGCTGAGAGTGTTCAAGCTCTGCAATTTTCTGCAAGCGATGAAGGCGTGACTGTGAGCGAATAAGGTTGCGCTTAATGCGAGAGGGTGCTCTGCCATTGGACGAGCGAGAAGGGCGAAGGAGGCAGTGCGGAGCATCTGCTGGGTGGGGACCAAGACAGTTCGCACACTTGCTTACTGCATCTGCAGATGAGGTGTGCAATGTCTCAGGATGACGATCAGCGCAGAGTCTGCAGGTGACTGGGCGAGTGCAGCCACGAGCGGGGTGGTAGAGCCAACAGCGAGAGCACTGCTCAATTTTGCGCTGGCGGGAGGAGCGAAGCAGAGGAAAGGTGGAATGAAAGAGCGTCACCTTGCGAGGCCGGATTTTAGCAGAGGAGGGAAACTGCACAAAGAGAGTGCCAGTCTCAGTAGTGTTGTTAGGCGCCATTCGTGCAGACAAGACTGGCGTAGACAGTATGACAGAAAGCTCTTCGGCATAGGCAGTAAGGGAGCCCATGATAGGAGCGTAAGGGATGAGAAAGGTATCTCGAGAGGCATCAGCCTGAGACTCAACGGCAGTAGCGCCAAAATACTACTGGAGGGTGTCATGATGAGCAAGTAGTTGCTCACGGCCATGTTTATGAAAGGGTATGGGTGCAATGCCAGAGCGGACAAACTGGACATTGCGAACAACAGTGTCATCACCAGCAACGATTTGGCGAGTCTGTGTGAGTATAGCACCAGCCGAAAGCTGACGGGCAGGAGATTCAGAGGGCAGCCGGAGCATGACACGAAGGTCAGTGGCTTCGGATGGTTTGGAGATAGGCTTCTTGGGAATCGAGGGTGTAGGCGGCACCGGAGGCTGGGTTGGCTGTGCTATCACCGGCTTTTTCTTCCACGATGACGCCGTAACGGGCCAAATCTGTCTTTACAGCATCAGCATCAACATCAGACTTGTCGATTTTGTTT